GAGTGCAAAAATTATAGGGGGATAAGTCTGTTGAGTGTACCTGGTAAAGTGTATGGTAGAGTTATAATTGAAAGAATTAAGAGTAAGACGGAGAATAGGATAGCAGATGAACAAGGAGGCTTTAGGAAAGGTAGGGGGTGTGTGGACCAGGTGTTTACAGTGAAACATATAAGTGAACAGTATTTAGATAAGGCTAAAGAGGTCTTTGTGGCATTTATGGATTTGGAAAAGGCGTATGACAGGGTGGATAGGGGGGCAATGTGGCAGATGTTGCAAGTGTATGGTGTAGGAGGTAGGTTACTGAAAGCAGTGAAGAGTTTTTACGAGGATAGTGAGGCTCAAGTTAGAGTATGTAGGAAAGAGGGAAATTTTTTCCCAGTAAAAGTAGGCCTTAGACAAGGATGTGTGATGTCACCGTGGTTGTTTAATATATTTAAGATGGGGTTGTAAGAGAAGTAAATGCGAGGGTCTTGGCAAGAGGCGTGGAGTTAAAAGATAAAGAATCACACACAAAGTGGGAGTTGTCACAGCTGCTCTTTGCTGATGACACTGTGCTCTTGGGAGATTCTGAAGAGAAGTTGCAGAGATTGGTGGATGAATTTGGTAGGGTGTGCAAAAGAAGAAAATTAAAGGTGAATACAGGAAAGAGTAAGGTTATGAGGATAACAAAAAGATTAGGTGATGAAAGATTGAATATCAGATTGGAGGGAGAGAGTATGGAGGAGGTGAACGTATTCAGATATTTGGGAGTGGACGTGTCAGCGGATGGGTCTATGAAAGATGAGGTGAATCATAGAATTGATGAGGAAAAAGAGTGAGTGGTGCACTTAGGAGTCTGTGGAGACAAAGAACTTTGTCCTTGGAGGCAAAGAGGGGAATGTATGAGAGTATAGTTTTACCAACGCTCTTATATGGGTGTGAAGCATGGGTGATGAATGTTGCAGCGAGGAGAAGGCTGGAGGCAGTGGAGATGTCATGTCTGAGGGCAATGTGTGGTGTGAATATAATGCAGAGAATTCGTAGTTTGGAAGTTAGGAGGAGGTGCGGGATTACCAAAACTGTTGTCCAGAGGGCTGAGGAAGGGTTGTTGAGGTGGTTCGGACATGTAGAGAGAATGGAGCGAAACAGAATGACTTCAAGAGTGTATCAGTCTGTAGTGGAAGGAAGGCGGGGTAGGGGTCGGCCTAGGAAAGGTTGGAGGGAGGGGGTAAAGGAGGTTTTGTGTGCGAGGGGCTTGGACTTCCAGCAGGCATGCATGAGCGTGTTTGATAGGAGTGAATGGAGACAAATGGTTTTTAATACTTGACGTGCTGTTGGAGTGTGAGCAAAGTAACATTTATGAAGGGATTCAGGGAAACCGGCAGGCCGGACTTGAGTCCTGGAGATGGGAAGTACAGTGCCTGCACTCTGAAGGAGGGGTGTTAATGTTGCAGTTTAAAAACTGTAGTGTAAAGCACCCTTCTGGCAAGACAGTGATGGAGTGAATGATGGTGAAAGTTTTTCTTTTTCGGGCCACCCTGCCTTGGTGGGAATCGGCCAGTGTGATAATAAAAAAAAATAACAGCTGCCTATAAAAGTTTTATGACTAAGTTGCAATATAAAGCACCTGTCAAGTTTTCACTAATTTCTTTCTTGGTCAAAATCATAAGAATAGTAGCAGCATGACAAGTGTCTTTTTTTTTTTGCATAGTTTCAGCAACATGAATATTTGGTTCATTTCTGAAGGTCGCTGCATAACAATTTTAAAAAATAAAATAATTTAACCCTCAACAGTAACCTTAATCGGTCCAAACGGATATTTACGTTCACGCGCGTAGCGCCAATGTATATATACGTTTTCTTTGTCATTCATTCAAATTGACACCATAGCCTGAGTCACCTAGACATGAGAGAATGGGTGTGTGAATCACTGATGTTCCTATTAAAATAATTCGGGGATGCCTGGGTTACCATTTGCTCTTTTTTCCTTTTAAAGAAAAAGAATTTCTTTTTTCCTCAAAAAATTTGGGGCGTACGCGAGTGAACATATTATATACGTTTGGACCGTTTAAGGGTTATGTAATTAAGTTTATTCGCACCCGAAATCCTAGCGTACAGGTTACCAAATTCAATTACACCAAAATTATCATAAACACAGTCGGAAACCTCAGTCTTTAAACAGCTCCCTACTTGAATGAATTTGGTTAAAAAAAAAAAATAATCGCGGTAGTTGACCATTTGCCTCGGCAATTCACAACAATACAAATGCCACAACTTTCACTGTCAACTATTTCTTGTTTCTTTGCATTTTTTGGTGTTTTTTATATTGTATAAATAAATCACATGGTTTCTAAGATTAGTGATAACAAGCCCACAAAAGTGAGAAATTTGGTTGGAGAAAAATTCATTTGGTACTAAAACGTTTGGCACTCAAACAGCCTTCTGGATGTTAGGTAAGTTCAACTACCTAGGTTACACTGGGTTACGGATGTCTGTGGTAGTAGGTTGGTGACACCAACCACCCAGGGAGGTACAACTAGTCCTGTGGTAGTAGGTTGGTAACTGCAACCACCTACAGAGGATACTACTGTCCTGTGGTAGTAGGTTTGTAGGACACCACCACCCAAGGAGGTACTCTGTCCTGTGGTAGTAAGTTGGTAGACACCAACCACCAAGGAGGTACTACTGTCTGTGGTAGTAATTTGGTAGACGCCAACCACCCAAGGAGGTACTCTGTCTTGTGGTACGTAAGTGGTAGACACCAAACCACCCAAGAGGTACTACTGTCTGTGTTAGTAGGTTGGTAGACACCAACCACCAGGGAGGTACTTCTGTCCTGTGGTTACTAGGTTGGTAGGACTGCAACCACCTACGGAGTACTACTGTCCTGTGGGCTTGGTAGGTTGGTAGACAGCAACCACCTCGGACAGGTACTACTGTTTGCCAATTAAGTTGTAAAACGGAAACCGGTTAATGTTTATACATGATGGTAAGAGTGGCTGGTGTCTTTTTTTCTGTCTTCTAAAACATGCAAGGTTTCAGGTACATTCTGCTACTTCTACTTAAACTTAGGTCACATACTTACATAATGTTACGGCATTATATACAAAACCCTCCGGGTTTTCATGTTTGCATTACTAGTTCTTGTTTATTTCCTCTATCTCCCATGGAAAAGTGGAACATAATCTTTTTGCATAAGTCAGCATGTCATAACAGGCAACTAAAATGCCATGAGCAAGGGGCTAGTTAATCCCTTCTCTGTATATATTACTATATTTAAAAGAGAGAAACCGTTTTCTTTTTCTAGATCACCCTGCTTGATGGGATTATAGCCGGTTTGTTGAAACAAAATTACTAGTATCCGTACATTACCTAGGATAAACACAAAAAAGTCAGAATCCATGATTCAATCTGAACACTTTTTGATATTTCCAATTTTTTTTATTTTTTTAATATAACCATTTAACTAATTCTTCTGAATTTTCAAAAAATTTATAATATTACAAGGTAATCCTCCTCCTTGCCTTCAGTCTATATTTGCAGTAATTATGGCAGGATATAAATGATACTAGACACATGGTGTCTCTATTATTGGTAAAAAAAATACTGAAATGTGTCATAAGTATGTTCCCAAATTTTAATAATGTCCAGTGCATTCTGAGAATTATAGAAAATGCTTTAGTACAAAATATAAAAGAACAAATATTACAGTGCACTCTTGTTTCTTTAAATTATTAATGTGAAACCATTATGGTGTTGTAAGGGTGGACCACCTCATTCAATTTTTTAATGATTTTTTATGGTACTTACTAGAACACTACTGTTCACACCCCACAAAATGCTACTTTCTACAGTAAATCAACATAAAAGAATTACGTCATGCCTTACACATTCCCATGAATCGATATATAAATTTCTCAATACCATACAGCTTGCTTGGCTATTTTGCATTTGTTATTGTGTAAAACTTTTATATCTTAATGTAATAACTGTTGTTCTAGCTATACAGTATATAATGAAAACAACCCAGTTCCATATAATGGTGGGCCCTGCTTAAACAGCAGGTTAGCTTCCGGGGTAATGATGTAAAAACAAATTTGATGAAAAATGAAACAGCAGTTTTCACTTTCAAATGCATATAAAAGCCTGATAACATGTTTACAATATCATATATTAAGTGAACAATACAGCTAGGTCTAAAAAAAGCATATACATTCTCTCCTCACTTAGCAACATACTCGTTTACTAATGCCTCGGACTTATGATGGGCTATCTGACCAGTGTGGATACCTAAATAATGTATATTAGAGCTGATTTCCTCTTATTCTTTTATTTCAATAACAGTACATTATTGTATAAACAGTTAAAAATATACCAGATATGTTATAAATAGTGCAAAGGTGACATTAAAACAATATCAAAGATGGTTGACACAAACTCACTACTATTATAGTATGATCCTCACTTAGCGACGAATTTGTTTAACAACGTGGTCTCAGGAACGGAACTCTGTTGTTAAGTGAGGAGAGGCTGTACAGTACACACAATACTTACCTTAAAATACTCTTTGTCCTTAGCTTATAATGAGTGGTAAATATATTTATTGTATGAAATCTGAATAAATAAAGAATTAGTATAATTGAAAGCTGCTGCATTTATGAAATGTCATAAAACAAAGTGCTGTAAAGTGGGGCCTGCCTGTACTATATGGTGCTACAGTGTAATAACATTAACCACACATTGATCAGAAGTATGTTATCACTTTGCAAAGAAATGATTTGTTATGTTAGTAAATTTTTTCATGGAACTCAATGAGTAACATTGATTTCTTAAAATTTATTGTTTGGTATGCATAAGACAAAAGTAGAGCAGGCCAGTTCAGCATTAAATGCTTGTCAGCTTCTGACTTAAGTACAGTATAATTATATTTTGCAAAGTTAATTCCAAAAGATAGTGATGCTAAATTGAGTTTAAAGTTTGGCTATGTTTTTTTCTGCATGTACACAATTCTCCTCCTGAAGGGAGAAACAAGATGACCATTGCAAGACACTTCCTAGATTACTGTGAGAAAGCCAATAAAAGAATTTATGCCAGCAATTGGCGTGGCTTACACATCCATTCTAGGCTCCTCTACATAGCAACTGACTGGGTAAATATTGAAGTTATTGTTCATTAAAACTGTTTAAAAAAATTTCAGTGCAGACAGATTAGACTTTCAAGATTACATTATCTTGTTGCATATACATCCCCCATTTTTTATGTCTATTTATGTCACCTGGGGGACAAGTACTTTAAAACGAAAGATTTCTTCGGGGTGCTATGCAGCAAAAGGGTGATTTTTTTCAGAGTGCTACGCAAAGCAAACGAAAGATCTTCGTTTGGACAGTTCAAGGGGGTTTAAATTTTTTTAAAGTAGGGTATGCAGGGAAAGCGGGGAAAATTAAAAAGGTTTAAAAATTTAATTAAAATTGGGGAAAAAAAAGAGGGGTTTCCCCCGGGGTTAACGGCCCAAAGTATATTAGGGTTTTTTACCGTTTGTCCCCCAAACTTATATGGTTTTTTTTGTCACTTTTAAATTTTTTCCACGTAACCCCTGAGTCAATTAGAAGGGTGAAAAATGGGTTTTGAGGGCACCACTGTGCCCCATATTAAAAAAAATTGGGGGGATGCCTGGGAAACATATGCTTTTTTTTCTATTAAAAAAAACAATTTTTTTGTTCTCAAAAATTTGGGGGCAGTTTGGAAAGGGGAAGGTTATATACGTTTGGGACTGTTCGGGTTTAAAGGGGGATTGAACATACAAAGTTCCAGGAAAAAAAAGAGTTGGGAAAATGTTTAGGTTTCAAGAAAAAGAAAAAAAGGAAGGGGTTTGTTCTCAAAAAGCCACAAAAAAGAGTAGAGCCTTTTAAATTTTGGCCCAAAGTCTAAAATTTGTGCCAGTTTTCCCTAGGGGAAGACCCAGACCAGTTTTTTTTTGTTTGAAAGGGGGGGGGCCCCGGTTAAAAATTTTTGGCCCGGACAAGGAATGGGGGGACATTATTTCAAACCATTTAAATTGGGAAAGGTTAGTTTCTAGAGGAATGGGACTTTTCGGTTATAATAAACTGATGGAGGTATTTTTAAATTTTGTTATCAGATGTTGCCAAAAAGGTATCAGCAAAGTTTAGAGGACTAAAGTTTAAAGGGCAAAGGGCAGTTTTTGGTGGAATAAGTCAGAAGTTGTCGCTTTAAAAAAAAATTGGGGGGTCGTAAAAAGGGGTGGGGAGACAAATTTTGAGGGTGTTCTTTCCCAATTTTGGAGGTTTTTTAGAAATTTTCCCGGGCCTTGAAGGTTTTTTCTTTATGAGAGGATTTGGGGTGATTTTAAACATGTTTACCCGCGGGGGGATAGATTTTTTTCCCAACCCAAAAAATTGATATTTGTTACCCCCCGAACTTATTTAAAAAATTTTTAGAAGTTTAAGCCCATTTTTCGGCCTCATAACCACCAGGTTTTTTAAAAACCCTAATTTTTCCAGTCTTTCCCCGGAAAGTTTTTAAAATTTAGCTGTCACAGGTCCGGAAAACAAGGGGAAAATGTAGTTAATGCTGGGGTTGTTTCAGGGCGAACCCTCAGTCTATGCTCTCTGCCCGTTCAGAACATGATTCTCTTGGCAAAACGAGGGCCCAAAACAAATCTAAATGATTTCGTACTCAAATGTTGCTGCAGAAAAGCCTTTCTTTTAATGAAAACTTCCCCCTTGATTAATTAAAGGTTTCATAGGGAAAATAGTAGTTTTCAAGTTTTAGGTTCGGTATAGGGACAGGGAAATTTTCCCTTTTTCTTGATACAAAAAGTTTTAAAAGAGTAAAACAAGGGATTTTTTGTGAAAATTTCCTTGTGTAAAATTTTTTCAGTGTACATAACCTGTAATGTTTTGATGATGGTAGGATTGTGGTTTCTTTTTCGTCTCATAAAAACGCTAGATAACAGGGATCTCGTGCTACCCTACTTACACTTGGTCCACACTCACAGACACCACATGCATATATATATATACATACATCTAGGTTTTTTTTACTTTTTCTAAATAGCTCTTGTTCTCCTTTATTTCTTCTTTTGTCCATGGGGAAGTGGAAAAGAATCTTTCCTCCGTAACCATGCGTGTCGTATGAGGCGACTAAAATTCTGGGAGCAATGGGCTAGTAACCCCTTCTCCTGTAGACATTTACTAAAAAAGAGAAGAAGAAAAACTTTATAAAACTGGGATGCTTGAATGTGCATGGATGTAGTGCAGATGACAAGAAACAGATGATTGCTGATGTTATGAATGAAAAGAAGTTGGATGTCCTGGCCCTAAGCGAAACAAAGCTGAAGGGGGTAGGGGAGTTTCGGTGGGGGGAAATAAATGGAATTAAATCTGGAATTAAATCTGGAATAGGTAGTAGGTTGGTAGACAGCAACCACCCAGGGAAGTACTACCGTCCTGCCAGATGACTGTGAAACAAAAACCTGTAATTGTTTTGCATGATGGTAGGATTGCTGGTTTCTTTTTCTGTCTCATAAACACGCTAGATAACAGGGATATCTTGCTACTCATACTTACACTTTGGTCACACTTCACAGACACGCACATGCATATATATATATACATACATCTAGGTTTTTCTCCTTTTTCTAAATAGCTCTTGTCCTTTTTTATTTCTTCTATTGTCCATGGGGAAGTGGAAAAGAATCTTTCCTCCGTAAGCCATGCGTGTCGTATGAGGCGACTAAAATGCCGGGAGCAATGGGCTAGTAACCCCTTCTCCTGTATACATTTACTAAAAAAGAGAAGAAGAAAAACTGTAGTGTAAAGCACCCTTCTGGCAAGACAGTGATGGAGTGAATGATGGTGAAAGTTTTTCTTTTTCGGGCCACCCTGCCTTGGTGGGAATCGGCCAGTGTGATAATAAAAAAAAAAAAAAATAAATCTGGAGTATCTGAGAGAGTTAGAGCAAAGGAAGGGGTAGCAGTAATGTTGAAGGATCAGTTAAGGAAAGAGAAAAGAGAATATGAATGTGTAAATTCAAGAATTATGTGGATTAAAGTAAAGGTTGGATGCAAAAAGTGGGTCATAATAAGCGTGTATGCACCTGGAAAGAGAGGAATGGGAGAGGAAGAGAGAGATTTTGGAGATGTTAAGTGAATGATAGGAGCCTTTGAACCAAGTGAGAGAGTAATAAGTGGTAGGGGACCTGAATGCTAAAGTAGGAGAAACTTTAGAGAGGGTGTGGTAGGGAAGTTTGGGGTGCCAGGTGTAAATGAAAAGGAGCCCTTTGATTGAACTTGGTATAGAAAGGGGGTTTTTTTATAGGTAATAGGTATTAGTAGGGTTTGGTAGACAGCAACCACCCAGGGAAGTACTACCGTCCTGCCAGAAAGACTGTGAAACAAAAACCTGTAACTGTTTTGCATGATGGTAGGATTGCTGGTTTCTTTTTCTGTCTCAAAAACACGCTAAGATAACAGGGATTCTTGCTATTTCCCACTTAAAACTTTGGTCACATTTCACAGCCCACGCACATGCATATATAATATACATACATTAGGTTTTTCTTCCCTTTTTCAAAATAGTTTCTTGTTCTTTTTATTTCTTCTTAAGCCCTTTGGGGGAAGTGGAAAAAATTTTTTCCCCTTCCGTAAGCCATCCCCGTGCCCGTATGGGGCCCGACAAAAAACCCGGGGGGAGCAAGGGGAAAGAAACCCCTTCTCCTTAAAACAATTACAAAAAAAAGGGGGGAAGAAGAAAAACTTTTAAAACTGGTTTGTTTAAATGGCTGGATGTAGTGCGGATGACAAAAACAAATGATTGCTGATGTTTTTAATAAAAGAAAAATTTTTTTCCGGCCCTAAAACAAACAAAGCTGAAGGGGGTAGGGGAGTTTCCCGTGGGGGGAAAAAAAATGGGATTAAAAACGGGGTATCTAGAGAGTTAGAGGCCCAAAAGGGAAAGGGGGAACATAATGATAAAGATCAGTTAGGAAGGAGAAAAAGGGTTTTAAAATAATGGGGTAAATTCAAGAAATTTTTGGATTAAAATTAAAGGTTTTATGCAGAAGTGGGGGCATAAAAGCGTGGGAACACCCGGAGAAGAAGGAAAGGGAGAGGAAGAGAGAGATTTTGGGGAAAAGTTAATGAATGTAAAAGGGGCCCTTTTAAACCCAAAAGGGGAGAGTAATTGTGGGAGGGGACTTGAATGCTAAAGTTTGGAGAAACTTTTAGAGAGGGGGTGGTAGGTAAGTTTTGGGGGCCAGTGTAAATGATAATGGGGAAACCCTTTTTTTTTAAAATTTGTAATTTGAAAGGGGGTTTTTTTAAGGTAATCAAATTTTTAAGAAAAAGAGGATAAATAAGTATACACGATATGAAAGTAAAGGGGGAAATGACAGTATTTGTTGGGTAAAGTAAATTTAGAAAAAAAACGTTGAGTAGACTTCAGGATTTCATGTTTTTTAAAAAGGGGCCACAGTTTTACAATCACTTTCTTAGTTGTAGCAAAACTGAGAGGGAAAAGGTAGATGGGATACAAGGAGAATAAAGCATCAGGGAAGAGAAGGGGAAGGGTTTTTTAAAAATAAAAGAGGAGGGGAGTTAGGGGAAATATAAAAAAGCTATTTTTAGGGGAAAAAGGGCCCAATGAGAGCATAGGAAATGGGGTCGAAGAGGTATGGGGTAGGTTTAAAATGTAGTGTTAGAGTGTTCAGCAGAAGTTTGTGGTTACAGGAAAGGGGGTTTGCAGGAGGGAAGAGGAGCGATTGGTGGAAATGAAGATGTAAAGAGAGTAGTAAGGGGGGAAAAAGTTAGCATATGAGAAGTTTTTACAAAGTAGAAGTGATGCAAGGAGGAAGAGTATATGGAGAAAAAGAGAGGTTAAGAGAGGGTGAAGCAATGTAAAAAGAGAGCAAATGAGAGAGTGGGTGAGATGTTATCAACAAATTTGTTGAAAAATAAGAAAAAGTTTTGGAGTGAGTTTAAACAAGTTAAGAAAGCCTAGAGAACAAATGGATTTGTCATTTTAAAAATAGGAGAGGAGAGTTTTAAATGGAGAGTTAGAGGTATTGGGAAGATGGAAGGAATATTTGGGGAATTGTTAAATGTTGATGAAGATAGGGAAGCTGTGATTTCGT